TGAGTTGTTTGCAGAAGTGATCTGCGAGGAGGGGGGCGGGGAGGGGAGCTCCGGAGGCCTGTGCTTGAGCGGTTTTCAAGAGACACTCTCAAGGCTGCCCTCAGTCTCTGTGCAGCTCACTGGATTAACTCAAGGGGCTGGTTTGAACCAATATGGCCAGGCCCTCCTGGAGATCAGAGGCTGCAACTCAAAGGCTCTGCCACTCAAGTGGAAGGGGATGGAAGCAGGTGGCAGGTGCCTGGGTTCCCTCTGAGCCTGGCGCACTGGCCCAGGGCACACACACCAGCCCCTTGCCCTGGCTCAGGAGACAGGGTCTGTGCAGGAAGCAGGCAGGATAGGTTCTAGGGACTGGGGGGCGGGGGGCCCTAGATGTTGCTATTTAAAAAACAACCGAGCTGCCAGGGGCCCATTAAACCTCTGCAAAATCTTGGATTTTAACAGCTTTAAATAGTAACATTGGGCTGCTGCGTCAGTATTCTGCTGTGATTTATAACTTCTATAGCGGATGACGACTCTCCAATCTGCCGCTGTTCCACTGTTTAACACGGGCTAGTCTAACATGGGGCAGCCCCACAGCTGGGGTATAGAGGGCAGGGAACAGTACAGCCCCATGGCTGGGGTATAGACAGCAGGGGACAGCCCCACGGCTGGGGTATAGAGGGCAGGGGACAGGACAGCCCCACGGCTGGGGTATAGAGGGCAGGGGACGGGACAGCCCCACGGCTGGGGTATAGAGGGCAGGGGACGGGACAGCCCCACGGCTGGGGTATAGACGGCAGGGGACGGGACAGCCCCACGGCTGGGGTATAGACGGCAGGGAACGGGACAGCCCCATCGCTGGGATATAGACGGCAGGGATGATGCTGGCTGTGGTGCCTCCTAGATGGGATGTAACAAAGCATTTCTGATTTCTCTCTCCTGTGAGTCCAGCCAGCAAACCGCGCGCACCAGCCAGGCTGTTCCAACAGCAGCCTTGGGGCAGGAGATGCCCCAGGAGAGGAGGGAGCTGGTGTCAGGGAAGCTGCAAGGCCGGTGGCAGGAGGAAGACTCTGCAGAACCATGATTTCCACCCAGCTCTGTCCAGGCCCGGCAGTGTGAACTGCCCAGAGTTCTCCACCGCCAAGGGGAAGGGAGAGACTGCTGGGGCCTGGCCCCCCCACTGAACACTGAGCAGGAATCTCCCTTCCCAAGCAGCTCTGCTCTCCCCTATCCAGGAAGGAAAGAGATCAGCCGGCAGCCCCTAGAGAGGGGCTCCCCAGGCTGGTGCTAAAGGAGTCAAGAAATCCTCGGAAGGATTCTCCCGGGGAGTCCCGGCGCCTGTTTATTTACACGCGCTCCCATCACGTGCATCACGTGCCCCAGGGTGGGGCCGCCCCCTGGCGGGTCTCCCTGCATGTGGCAGGCAGAGTGGCCGGAGCGGGCACTGGAGCTCATGAAGGCTGCCTGCCCCTGTGGGTCAGCGCGGGCACTGTGGGGCTGGCACGGCAGGAGCGGGACAGTCGGAAGACGAGTGTATGGTCAGAGGCCTGAGGTTGCCAGGCCTGTGGCCCCCTCCCTTTGTCCCCCACTGACTCTGCTTTGCTCCCAGCTGGGGAGGGAGCGCTGAGAACTGGGCCCTGGCCATCCCGGTGTCCGCGGGGCAGGCCCTGTCAGCAAACGGCCACCGTTCAGTGCCACCCCGTGAAAGGAGCGGGCCCTGCCGACTAGCCTCGGGTTGGCACTGGAGTTAGTGCACCGCAGGCTGGGAGCTATTGCTGGTCAGCAGGCAGGTCAGAGCCCCTCCCGGCAGGGGAATTTCTCCCCCTTTCCCTGGCTAACAGATGTTTTTAGAAATAAATCGGTTCTGCCTTTGGAGCCCTCGGTGTTACAACCGTTCGCTCTCCCCCCGCTCCATCCTGGTGTCTAGTCACAATCTCTGCCCCCGCCTCTCCCCGTCCCTGAGGGAGCTTCTCACAGGAACATCCTCATCTGCCTCCCACCATCACAGCCCCTGCTCAGCGCAGGGGGCTTGGGGTGGCCGGTCTCCATCCCCCCCACACGGGACTTACGCTGGGGTCTGCAGCCTTGGTGCCCCCTCTTCATTCCCACAGCGAGGCCCAGGCAGTGCTGGCTGTGATAGCTACCCATAGTGCCCCTTTCTCACCCCATGACGATGGGGGGGGGAGACTGAAGGGAGGGGGGCAGCTTTCCCCCTCCCCACCCAGATAGGACAGTGCTGAGGTGGAAGGGGGCACGGAGATTTCATCCTTGCAGGCCTCAGGCCCTGGGCGAGGGGATTCGGAGGAGCAGGGCTGCAGCGATGGGAGGTGAGTTTCCACGGCTGCTGCAGGGGCTGCCTGTGGGGATTGTGCCCAGGAACCGGCACAGAATGGGGACACATTTAAACTAACCAGTGCAGCTGCTGGGTCACAGGCTGATCGGTGCGGAGCCCCTAGAGCCAGGGTGCCCAGTCTCTCTCCCGGGGACTCATGGGGCTTGCTGGGGCTCAGAGGCCCCAGGGTTTGGCCTCCCTTTCCTAACAGGTACAATTAATCCTCACTCCACGCCCAGCGAGACGGGCTTTGAGGCAGCGACGCGCTGAGCTGCCCGTCTGGGCCGCATCTCTAGGCACATGCAGGAATCAGTCGATGACGGCTTGTTCGTGAAGATTAGCAACATTACGGGAGGCCTGGGACTCCATGCAGGATGCCAATGACTCAGCGGTGTGAGCTGCACGGCCTGTGGCGCTTAGTGGCTTAGCAAGTGAGGGGTGGAAGGCATCTGGGGTTGTGAGTCACCCAGCAGGGTTAGCTGGTGCAGGACAGAGCTGCCAACCTGACCATTTCTGAGCTCAGCCAACTAGGGGAGGGGGCAGCTCCCTCTCTTCCAGGAGGTGTGTTGCAGGCCAGGGTGCTTTTGCATAGCACTTTGCAAGCATCAGCTTCTCTGAGTGCTGGGCTCCTGGTACAGATGGGGAAACGGAGGCAGGGAGGGGCAGGGACTTGTCCAAAGTCACACCGTGAGGCAGGGTCTGGCCTGGGAGTAGAACCCAGGAGAGCCTGAGGCAGCAAAGTTGTGTTTAGAGCCTTGGTTCCCCTCTTTCTAGGGATCTGGGATGGGGCAGAGGCAACGTGTGTTGTGGTAGATAAGGTGAGACCTGCCCACAGGGCACGGCCCACCCTGTCTGTTCTCTGCCGCCTCTCGGTTTCTTGGCTCACCTGCTCCTCGCTCGAATCATTACAAGGGAGCTGGGGGTTCCTCACCACAGCTGATGCTCCTCCCCTAAGTACCCGGGCATTTGGGGGTGGGAGAGCTGGCTCTGTGCAGCTGGGAGCCAGCCAGGACTCGGAACGGGCCCTTTGCCTTCTCCACAGAGCCAGACCCAAGCTCCAGGAATGTTTTCATTTTCAGCTCTTGGAGCTGGACTAGATTTCAGCAGGCTCCGTCAGTGGCATGGGTCTCCTGTGGATACTGTCTGCAGGGGAAGGGGCCTGTTTGCACCACAAACTACCCTGGGCCTGGAATTTCAGACCGATCAAACTCTGCGTGTTGATTGCAGCTTCAAAATGGGGCTAAACGCAGAAACTGCAGCAACTTTATCTATGGAGCCGGCGTTGCTCCTCCATTGGCCATCCTCGCTCCCCACAGCTCAGCCCTCTCGGTGATGGGTTTGCAATCAAATGTGTGCTGGAAGTTGGGTCAGCAATGGAGCCACCCTAGCGGGTTGGAGGGGGAGGGGGTGAAGATCCAAGAGCCTGGAAGGAGAAGCCCGCTCCTCACTGGAGATGCTCAGTCGAGTGGAGAGAAGGGAGTTGGTAACAGAGATCATTGGAAAAGGGGATGGTTTTCTGTGGAAAACTTTGACTTTTTGTAAAGAAAAAATGAAAACTGAAAATTTTTCGTTGAAAACCGTTGAAACCCAAATGTTTTTTGGGGGGTTGGTTTGCTGATGAACATGGAAATTTTTTGAGGAAAGCAGAAACCTTTCACAAAACCTTTTGTTTAGTGGAAATCCTAATTTTCCGCAGAAATAATGTTTTGACAGAAAATTTCTGACAAGTCCCAGGCTGTAACCTACTTCTTGGGCTGTTTTTTCTCACCCTTCCGACCCTTGGCAGAGTGGAAGATGTTCTATAGAAATCACTGATTTCAAGAATTCATTCTGATAAAGTGAAATGGGAAATGTTTTTATTTATTGTATTTCACTGCAGACAGCGTCTGCCATCCCCTTCGCTACACAACAAGTTAACAGCACAAAATCAGCAATGGACACGCAGAGCAATACAGATGGACCACTACAGTCCACATTTAGGAGTCTGATGCCAGGGGTGCAGGAATCAGCCAGTGGGGTTCCATGACCTACAAGGGCTTTTTGTTGGATAAGTTATTTGGCAGTAATTTCTCGATTTCCATCACAACCATTATTTGCCATAATTCACATCCCGGTCTCAACCTTCAGCCTGCCATGCATTCCCAGCAACCATTGTAACGCTCCTCCCCCTGGGGGCTGGAGACCTGATGCAAGGCCATCACCACTCCTAGTGCATCTCCTTTAGCTCCAGTGGGAGAACTCTTGCCTAGGGATCTGCAGGTTCAGGTCTCAGCTGGGGGCTGTCACGGAACATAACTGAGACATCCAGGCATCAACAATGGCATAATGGGCAGAACCAAGGAGATGGAGTTATGGAGTCAGCTCCTCTTTAAAGTCCTAACCGTACTGCCGAGTAACTGAGAGCCCATCCTGTAATCATAGGTAGGGACTTCTCTCTGGCTAGCAGGCACTTGGTCTTCACGATCTGACAGAGCAGCCGTGCCCGGTTCCTGGAAATGTTCAAACCAGCTGCTGTTTCTCCTGCTTGATTGTTTGTTTGTTTTAAATGGTCAGATTTTGGCTTCGGATCTTGAAATCCCCTGAATGTTGTCCAGCAGCTCCAGCAGAATCCAGGCAGCCTCCTCCCTGCCTGTCTCCCCACTCCACTGGGCTTTCCTCTCACCAAATGTTGTTCTCACTTCTTTTCCAGGCTGCCCATCAGGGACGTTTAAGGCCAGCCAAGGGGACGAAGGGTGCATTCACTGCCCAATTAACAGCAGGACAACTTCGGAAGGGGCCACCAACTGCGTGTGCCGAAATGGATATTACCGGGCAGACTCCGACCCCCTGGATATGCCGTGCACCAGTACGTAACCACCCGGGGGTGTGGGGAAAGGCCATGGGATGGTACAGAACATGAAGCAGGGATGAAACTCTTTCAAATTGCCTGTTGGCGTCTAACAAACTGTCCCAAACTGGAACTGCACATCCCCCCCTGTGGCTGCATGTGAAGGTATTGGTGCAGTCAGGGACTGTCTATGGAGACTGTAGCCGAGGGTCCTGACCCCATGGGATCAGGTGGGCAGCTGGCGCGCACACCTTCATCTCATTAGGGGCTAGAATGCCTGGAGCTCTCAAGCAGAGGGAGTTAGTTGAAGTTAGGGTTTGGTTCAATGTTAGTCCTAAGGTTCTGGTTAAAAATAGTGTCAGCCTTAAGTTGAGGTTGTAGTTAGAATTAGGGGTAGGTTGCAATTAGGGCTACTGTTATTGTTAATGGTGGGCTAGGGCTAGTTTGTAGTTAGAGTTAGCATTAGGGTTACTATTTGTTTAGGAATATGTTATACTTAGGGTTAGGGTTAGCGTTGGGTGAGGGCTAGTCTCTAGTTAGGGTTAGCGTTGGGTTAGGGCTAGGCTCTGGTTAGGGTTAGCGTTGGGTTAGAGTTAGTCTCTAGTTAGGGTTAGTGTTAGTGTTGGGTTAGGGCTAGGCTCTGGTTAGGGTTAGCATTGGGTTAGGGCTAGGCTCTGGTTAGGGTTAGCATTGGGT